AAAATTTTGCTCTGGAGCAAATTTAAGTGGGAAGAAAGGCCAAGGAAATATGGATTGTCCTTCCTAGAAATTGGAAGGGGGAATTGAAGGTAATAGGTACTTGCTTCCTGCCAACTTCGTAATGAAATTACTGTTCAGCAGAAATTTCTGTTAGAGTTTTTCTTTTTTCCTCCCAAGGGGCTGGAGACTCCAAATAGATGAAAAGAGACAATATTAATGTTGAGTATATAGAGTCATTGGTCCAGAATATTGAATATTCAAGGAACTCCGAACAATCCGTAGCATAAGGGTTTCTATATAATTGTTTTAATGTAATCTGAAGAAGGCAGATTGAATCCAAATGATCACCCTGATAATTCCACCTGCTTTCACTGGGAAATGGAAGAAAAGGAAATGAGTAGAGAAATAGAGATGCGAAATTAAAGGCGGAGATTTAAGTCATTTGAACAGGTAAATCCAAAGAAAGACACTCACTGGTACATGCTGGCTTCTTGAGTTCAACAGTGACTGACATTCAGTCCGTGCACATAACCTGCAAGTGGCTGTCCCCAGAGCCAGCTGTCAAAAATCAAAACATTTGCTCTCTGGTCTGCTGTATTGGTCAGTTTTCATCATTATCACAAATAACCTGAGATAATCAACTTATGAAGAGTGAAGGTTTATTTCAGCTCACAGTTTTGAAGGTTCCAGTCCATGATTGGCAAGACCATGGCTTTCAGACGTGTGGTAGGGCTGCATATGATGGCGGGAGCACATGGGAGAAAAATGGCACTTACTTTGTAGTCACAAAGTAAAAAAGAGAGAGGAAAGGACAGGGGTTCCCCCTACCCTCTTCCAAGGAGGCCCACAATGCTCTAATGACCTCCCACTAACCACTGGGTCTTGAAGGTTCCGCCATCTTCCAGTAGCACCACGCTGTAGACCAAGCCTTTGGGGAAGATTCAAGATGCAAACAGCAGCATCTACCTTTTCCAAACAGATAACAACCTGGATATCTCTAAACTTCTTGATCCTTTACTAACCCTCGTCAGTCTTCAGCACATTCGGGGCATTAGGGAGATTCAACCTGAGTCCATCCACCCTGAAGTGGTAGACAACGGACACCTGGCGAGAGAGCCCGCTGGGTTCAGCAAGAGGCACCTCCAGGCGTTGACCAGCCTGACCACGGATTTGGGGCGGGAGCAGTGGAGAGTGACGGGGGGGGGGTGGAATTCCATGGCCTGTCTGTGCTGCTCCCAGAGCCTCTTTCCTGTCCTGTCACGGCGAGTGTCCTCCGTGCGTCGCTGTCTCCTTCAGACTTGCTCCTGAGCCTCCCCCCGGTGCCCTCAGCAGGGAGAGGCCCTCGGAGCTCTGCTGACGACTTTCTTGTCTGATTCCTGCGTCTGTCCCCAGCGTCAGCTCCCAGGTTTCTGCCCCACATTCTCCGCATCCTGAGGGCTCTGACCGGGCTGGACTCACGGCCCCAGGAAGTCCCGGGGTCCCCCTTTGGCTCTTGTCTTTCCCTTCACCCTGTGCATCCCTCCTCGCTCTTACTCACCTCGTTCTGATCCTGCCCAGACATTTCCACCTGCTTCCCAGTTCCAGCCCTGGAACCCTGGTAGACGCGGCCACCTTTCCCTGTGCGCTCCCCACCTCGTAAACACCTCTGTTTTCACACCTGCTCTCCGTGTGTGTGTGCGTCTCCCTCCCTACCCTGAAAGCACACGGCCACTTCTGTATGATTCTCTTAGCGGAGGTTTTGGCACAGGGTGTGGCATGCGGTGGGCACTCACCCACGTCCCTTGGACGGGAGGATGGACGAGCGTGTTGATGAGTGTACTGATGGACAGGAGGACGGGTGGACGTGTCAACAATGGACACACGCACGGATGAGGGGAAGGGACTTCCAGTGTCGATCTCTCAGGATCCTCAGCCACCAGGGTGAACTGGGCCACTATTCTATGCCACACAATGTGACAAGGCCAAAAATAACCAAGAGGAATGGAACTAAAACGTCAACTTGAAGAATAAAGACAGTCTAATCTAGGTCTCAGTTAGCTACTGAGAAAGCTGCAGACACTGAGGAATTCGGCCAGAGTTCAGTTTTCCTCTACACCCCAGACCAAGAACTTCCGTGACGGAACCAAAAATCATCCCGCTAAGTGACGTGAGCCAGGCTCGGAGAGTCGAGGGTCAGATGTTCTCTCTCATATGGGGGAGCTACGGGCGGGGGGCTGGGTAAGAAAGGAAGATGACCTCACAGAAATAGAAGGGAGGCTACGGGCGGAGGAAGGGGATCGAGAGGGAGGGAGAAGGCGAGGCCGCGGGGAAGTTCTAGGGAACCGGATCTACCAGATGGTGCCGTGTCCATGTGACTATACCACGATGCATCCTGCCAGTGAACGTGACCGCCACGCGCTGATCAAGGTACTGGTGATAACTGAAGGGAGATGGACAGAGCGAGCAGATCAGGGGAGGGAAAAGGAGGGTCCTGGGGAACGAGGTGGGCCAACTGGGTTTCCTGCGTGTGCAAACAGGGCGCAGTGATCCCCCATGAGGCCTGATTATCACGCACCAATTAAACATAAGGGCCTTGGTCGGGGCTCCTGAGGTGCCCCTCCCGCACCACGTCCGTTGGGCACACCCCAGGCCAGCGGCCAGCCGAGAAGCATCAGGGCAGAAGACACAGAACCTTGTCCACTGCGTTGACGATGGCTGTGTGGAGCCACTCACTGAAGTGCTGGCGCTCTCTCCTGGCGCCGGCGGCTGCTGGCTTCTGCTTCTCCTGGTGGTGACCCTGGGGCACCACTCCTCAGGAGGCCTTCATTCAGGGCCCCGTGGCCTTCCGACAACACCCAGATGCACTGCAAGGTCCCGGGAGACCTGCTCTCCCCGACTCGTCCCCGTGCACGCAGTGTGACCGTCGGTCCTCCTCCTGGTGGGTGTCCCTGCCGTGGGGGGTTCTGGGCCTAGCTGCCTCTGCTCATGGGAGGCTCTCTCCTTCCCCCACCTTTCCCCTTCGAGGTCCCCAGAACCGCTCCCAGCCCCAGGTTGAGAGACAGGCTCCTGCTCTGTGACTGTGCAGTCTCTCTCCCTCCCTCACCAGGGCACCAGTGGCGTGTTAGCTCTGGCCACCGTCCGTGCGTCCCCGTCCTTGAGTGTACGCAGGTGCGGTCAGAGGGCCGAGGCTCCGTGTTGTCTACTTCTGTATCCACAGGACTCGCTCAGACCGACAGCAAACAGTTGTTAGTCAAGGAAGGGTCAGAGGAAGCTCGGTGCGTGCAGCAGAACTGGGAGGGTAGAAGACCCACAAAGGAAGTGGGAAATACCCTGACCCTCCCGCGCGTGGACGAGCGCCGTCTCCATCCCCTGTTCTGCTTGCTGACGGGAAACAGTGAGCGTCTCCCCATGTCCTTGGCTGGTCGCTGAACATGGCTCTTAATGACCCAGAGGGTCCCCTGAGTGGACACACCGTGCGTCCGTCTCCCCGTCCACTCACCTGGTCCTTGGAGGCCTGATCCCCCCGTGCGATGCGGCCAGGCTCTGTGCGCCGGGCAGACCACAGGTGAACAAGGGCCCCGGGCCAGTCGCTCTCTGGAATCCCCCGCGCTCGCTGTCCTCCTTGGTCTGTGTTTACTTCTTTAGCTGCTTTTGGTGCGAAGAGGGTGTAAAGCAAGAGAAAGCCGTGGCCCTGAGACAGGGCTTCTCCCTGGGGCGGTGATGCCGTGCTCCACCGGTGCTCACTGGGGTCTGCCCCGTGGCCACCGCCGTGTTTTCCTGGACGTCTGAACATCACATTTTCCACAGGCTGCGGGGAGGAAGCGTGGACCCTTGGCTCCCCCAGATTCTGGGAGACGAGCCCTCACTCGGTGGCCCATCAGAGGCAGCCTGACCTGAGGAGCGGGAGGGGACAAGTGTCAGAGGGCACCCGGACGTCACCTGTGCTGAACAACTTGCTGCATGGATGTCACGTGGGGAGGGGCTAGGAGCCATCGATCCCCTGCCCCGTCCCCCGCCTCGCTCAGTGTGGAACCCTGACGGCTGACGCCCCGCTTGGTCCAGGGTGCCCACTGCTCCCGTTCTTCCTCTTCCTCCTCTTCTTCGGCCACCACCAGTGTCAGGGCCACCACTGGCTTTCACCTCGATGACAAGAGCGACCTATCCCCACTCCAGCCCTCCTCCAACCTGTCCTCCACGGCCTTCCTGATCTGAGAACAGATGATGAGGTCAACCCCTCAGTTAGAACCGGGCGATGGCTTCCCGATGTTTAAGACAAAGACAAAACGTCAAGTGGCCCACGCGGCTCACCCTGCCAGCCCCCTCGTCTTCCCAGCCTCACTTAATGCTGCATTTCCCTGTCTCCTTCCGCTTCCGTCTGGGGGCTCTCCAGGTCCTCACCACAGGCCCTTGGCACGTGCTGTCCCTTTGCCTGCCTGGGTCCTTCTTTACCTAGCCAGCCTACCTGACCATCACATCCCCTGACATGGCCTTCTTTCTGTGGTAGCACTTGTCATAAGTCTGTGATTCATGAAGTGACACCTGTCCTTTCCCTGAGACTATAGAGGTCATGAAGTTGGGGATCACGTTTGTTTCCTTACTTATCCTCATCACCGTGGCGTGGAGCAGGTGCTCAGTGAGAACTTGCTGAGTGAATGATCAATGGTGATGTCTCACGGCTCGGAGGTTGGCCACCTGTGGTTCAGGAGTGAGCAGGTTCCTTCAGGAGCTTCCTAAAGCGTGACAGATACGTACGCAGATCCTCCCGAGAGGTCACTGAACCCAGATCTGTGGATCTGCTGGTCAAGAACACTCCACTCCGTGAGCTAACCGGTAGACCATTAATGCCTGCACAGGGTGGGGATTCTGATGACCACAGTGCCCGGTCAGTGGGCAGTGCCTGGAAGGAGCCCTCAGGGGATGCATGCTGGCCGTGGTGCTGTGCTGGGCGTGCTGTCCACTCATTTGCTTGACACCTGTTTAATTTTTTTCTAAGATGTGTCTTTCTCTCTTCCTCCATCTAGGTTTATGGTCAATGTGACGTGGGACGGCAAAGACTTGTCCTTCACGGAGGAGGGCTATCAGGTGCACCCCAGGCTGGTGGTGATCGTGCTGAACAAAGACCGACAGTGGGAGAAGGTGAGCAAGTCCGCGGGCGGGACGCGGGGAGCAGAAGGCACAGGTGCCTGCTCCGCGCCGCTCCTTCCCAGAGCGTCTCCTGGGGCTGCTCCAGCCTCCGCCCCAAAGCCAGGGTGGATGATTGAGGGTGCCGTCGGAATGCCTTCCTGGTGTGCAATGCTCTGTGGGTTCGGACCTCAGCTCCCCTAGAAGCAGTCCTGGGAGGATCTGGGATGATTAAGACAGTCGGAGTTGGTGTGCGCCGTGCAGCAGCGAGGTTGAGCACACAGCAGTGATCACACCAGTCTGCCTGAATCTTCTAAATGGGCTCCATTTACCGTGTGGCTGAACACCCTGCATTTCCATTTACTTGGTCTTTTGCTTTAAGTAAACTAATTTTCCAAAGCTTGAATCTATCACTTTGGTAAATCACATGCAGAGAAGGACTTTAGGATTCTCGTAAAGCACATTTTCAAGTACGTATGTATGCACTTTGAAAAACGTGAAAAAAATCAGTGTGCAAAGAAAAAAAATCATGCCGTACCTTACACAGGCCATGTCCTGAGTCATAGAGCAGAGACTTCCCCGGGGACCTACAGATGACCTTATGTGTGCAAGGACGTGCAGCATCTGTCCCTGCCCCCAGCAGTCAGCTCTCAAATGAGTCACCACAGTTTCCCGTTGAGAATGGAGTGAGAGGGACCAGGAAGGAAGCCTGGGGGGTGGTCTGCCCCTCCCTGACAAGCAGTTCCTGACTCCTGAGCCCTGCGCCTCTTGGGAGGGAGCCTCCAAGGCTTGAGGGTGGAGGCTTGAGAGACCCGGAGGGGAAGGGGCAGTGCTGGGGATTGACGGGGAAATGCTGTGCAGACAGGAGCACGGCCCAAGACCAGAACAGACCCTCGAGTCTGGGGAAGGAAAGGAGCTGGGGGGGAGTCTGATGCTGTACCCCCAGCTACAAAACACACGGGCTTCCAAGAACATGGGGAGGTTCAGCAAAGTGGGCTCCACCTCGGAGCATGAGACAGATCTCAGTGTAGTCAGAGGCACTGAGAAGATGCGGGTGCACCACCTGGAACAGAAATCAGTAACAAAGAGAGAGAATTCCCCAAGTGAGGAATCACTCTACGTTTCTAAAGAATGTTTAGGTCAAAAAGAAATGAGAAAGGCATTGGGAAATATTTTGAATAGAATAATCACAAACCCCACTCATCAGACTTGAAGAATAAAGTTGAAGAGGTGCTGAGGGAAACCCTTGGCTTTCAATGTGACGATAAGAAAGGGGGACGGAAAGTCATCCACTGAAGCCTCTGTGTTAAAGAGCTGGAAAAAAAAAGAGCAAAGTAGACCCAGGTGAAGGAGAAGGGAAAAATAGTAAGTAAAAATCAACAGAGTGGAACACAAGCTCCTGAGTGCAATCAGCAAAAGGCCAGTTCTTTGAAAAGTTATTAACTTGTGATTCCTAGCAATAGGATTACACAAAAGAGAGAAAAGTGCAGATAACTAGTGTTAAAACCCAAGAGCGAGGCCCTGAGCGACTTAGCAAGACTCTGTCTCAAAACGAAATGTTACGAGGGCTGGGGTGTGGCTCAGTGGTTCAGCACCAATGAGCTCAATGCCTGGTACAGAAAAAGCAGACCAACCCCAAACCACACACACACACACACGCACACACACACACACTCACCCACACACGCACATACATGCACACATATACACACTCACGCACACACACACACATGCACACATATATACACTCACGCACACACACACACTCACACACACTCACACACGCACACACACTCACCCACACACACACACACATGCACACATATATACACTCACGCACACACACACTCACACACACACACACACATGCACACACACACACATGCACACATATATACACTCACGCACACACACACTCACACACACTCACACATGCACACACACACGCACACACACACTCAGCCTCACATGCACATACATGCACACATATACACACTCATGCACACTCACACACATGCACACACATATACACTCACGCACACACACACTCACCCACACACGCACATACATGCACACATATACACACTCACGTGCACACACACACATGCACACATATATACACTCACGCACACACACACACTCACACACACTCACACACACGCACACACGCACACACACACTCACCCACACACGCACATACATGCACACATATACACACTCATGCACACACACACACTCACACACATGCACACATATATACACTCACGCACACACACACACTCACACACACTCACACACGAGGATATCACCACAGAAAATCACAGATGTTATAAAAATGTTATGCCAGCAAATTTGACAATGTCAATAAGACGGGCAAATACCTTGAAGAAACATGATTTTTAGAAACTGAAATGATAAGAAACCATCTGAATGGCTCTGTATTTGCTAAAGAAATTGAATATATATCTAAAAACTTTACCATTTGGATATGATAAAAGAAAAACTTCTGGCCCAGTGGGCTTAACTTGACTTTGATCAAACACTTAAAAAAAGAAATAACACCAAAGTACACAAAGCTTTTCAATATGTTACTAATCACAATTCAGCCATATATTTTAAAAAGGATAATTCATCATGGATAAGTGAGGTTATTTTAGGAATGCAGTATTGCTGTAGCATTAAATAATCAATGTAATTTACCATATTAACTGAATAAGGAGAAAATTATATGGTTATCTCAATAGATGCAGAAAACACACTTGACAAAATTATGTGGTCTTCTCATTAGATACAGAAAATGCATTTGACAAAATCCAATAGGTGTTCATGATAAATAAGATTCCTTAATTTAATAATAGATATCTGTGAAAATGCTATAGAGAATATCTTATTTAATGGTGATGCAATAATGAAAATAGATTCACAAGTGTACATTCACATTATTTTTGATGAATGGTTATGAGAAAAAAGGAAAAGAAAGGCTTTTTAATAAATGGTATTGGGTCAATTGAATATCCACATGGAAAGAGAAAATTAACCTTAGCTCACCACTCATACTATAAAAATATACAAAAATTTACTTGAAATGAATTGCAGACTTGAATGTGAAAACTAAAATACAAATTTTCTAGAAGATGGGAAGATTTTTTTTGTGATCTGAGAGGATCACACATTTCTTAAACAGAATGCAAAAAACATTAGACATGTAATAAAAATCATAAACTCTACTCTGTCAAAATTAAAAAACTTTGTCCATGTAAAGACAGTTTTCGAAAATGAGAAAGGCAAGTTACAAATTAGAAGAAAATATTGGCAATACATATAAGTTACAAAAGACTTATAACCTGAATATGTAAAGAACTCCACAAATCAATAATCAAAAGAGAAAGAGATTGACTTAGTCACCTCCCCGAAGACATTGCTCAAATGGCTAATAAATTCCTGAAGACATGATAAACCTCTTGGTCATTGGGGACATGCAAATTAAAACCACGTTGGGACGCGAATTCATATCCATTGAGTGGCTCTAAATCAAAAAGACTCACAATATCAAGTTTAAGTGAGGGTGTGAAGCCACTGAATCTCAGGCCTCGCTGGTGGGAATATAGAATCACAACCACTGGAAACTGGCTGTGTTTTTGTAAAGTGAAACATTCATAAACCTGTGATCCAGTGATTCCATTCCTGGCTGTTAATACCAAAGAAATCAAGCATATGTCCCCAGTGTTCCGTTTGTCCAAGAATGCTCAGTGCAACTTATTCTGAACAGGAAAACACCAGAAGCGACTCAAGCGCCCATTTGTAAGGAAATGGATAAATGAATAATGAATGGCATTTTAATAAAATGGAATGCTACCCATTCACAAAGAGGAATGAGTCACTCGTAGGATGGTGCTGTGGGTGAACCTCAGAACCATGACATTGAACAGAGACAGACAGACCCAGAGGTCATGTGTAGGATTCCAGCTACATAAAGTTCAAGTAGGGGCAGGTCTTGCCTATGGGGTCAGATATGAGAATATCTTCCATTGGAGAGCCATGGTCAAGACGGGGACCCAGAATTTTCCAGAGTGGTGCCAACACTTCCCATCTTGCACACGTGTCAACATGCTTACAGCGATGGCCCAGGATCTGCTCAGTTAGTTTTTTTCAAAAAAATTTAAATGCTACCAGTTGGGATCCTCAGCACAACTAGCTAACAGCTTCCCCCGAGGGCTCACATCTGATCCCCGACATGAATACCAGTCCTAATAACAGTAGTCACGGGGAACCCCTCACCACTTGCTGTTTTCCCTAGGTGAATCGCCAAGACCCTGACTGGGACGTGGTCCCTCACTGTCCACTCGACAGCTGTCCATTGGTGCCCGCTGTGGGCAGGCTCTGTTCTTGTGCTCTGCTTGGTGGTTAGTAGGAGGAGGTGGAATACAGATCAGCAGCCTTTCCTAGTAGCTTCATCCCAAGACTCCTGAGACGTGGAGTTGGACTCCAGTCGTGACCCTGCACCTTTTCTCCCTGAGGGACTTCCTCCACTGTCTGTCACCTGTGTGTGAGGGCGAGGCTCCTGGGGTGTGTCCCCACGGGGCACGACCTGATGTCTGAAGAATCCCTCTGCCGGCCCCCTCCTGTCTCTGGGTGTCCTCCTCCTCCACGCTGACCCCCTGGATCTTTGTCATCCTGTCCAGGACATTCTGGAGGCTAGACTCTGTCCTCCAGGAGCGTGGGTTTGGGGCTGGCGTGGAGGGTGTTCCTCTTCCCTTCCTTGGGATCCCCCGCCCGCCCACCCGTGTGCACGGGCTCCTTGATCCTCTGGGAACGGGAGCCTGCTGTCTCCTGGGGTCCTGGTTTTCTTCCCTCTCACTGGTTTTTCCTTATTGTCATAGAAGATGATCAGGCTTTCCTGCTCTGTGTGGATGAGTTGGGGTGTCTTCATCCCCATCTGAGGATCACTTTGGGAGCAGGGAAGTCCTCCTCCCTGGTGGGCTCTGACCACCCACCAAGCTCAGGCTCGGCTCACA